ATTTTCGAAAACTATGGATAGTACTACTAGTCTAAAGGCAAAGGTTATTTAAAGTCTCACAATTTATATATAGATATTTATAAGTTGATTTGGTAACTCTTATAAGGGAAACACAACCCGGAATTTCTTTGCACACGCCACTGTTATAGGACCCCTAAACCACACAAAAACATAACGAAATATCGGGCTTGCGACGAGCGTTTGTGTGGTGTATGGGGTCGTTTGTACTAAATTGCACAGTTATTGCGCTAAAATAATAATTATTTTGATATTTTGCTCATGTTTGTGTTATTGTACAATAATTTGTGCTTCGTATGGCGACCACTGCGAAATTTTTAGTCTAATTTTGATTTTGGTGTCCAGATCGTGCTCTAAAATATGGGTAAAAGCGTGGAAAAAAAAATATTTTTTTTTTAACTTAGTTTTTTTTTACGTTTTAAAGATGAAGCTATCAATATATACAAAGCACATTCATATTTCTTGCACATATTTACTTGAGCAACGTTTCTTCAAAATAAGGTTTGCGCAATTTTAGGTTTAGGGGCCCTATAAGTTTGTTTTTCAGTATGCAAATAAGCAGACAGAAGCAAGAAATATAATTTTTTTTATAACTATTTTATTACTATGGATTTAATATAACAACAGTTTTGTGTGCTTTTGGTACTTTTTCTGCTTGGCAACTGATATATTTTCTTCAAGTTCGCGGCAACGCCGATCACGATGTGTGTTTAGGGCGAGATGTTAACTTCATGTTATTCATAGTGGACGTGATGTTAACTCCACTGCTCTGTTCCGGGGCGCCATGTTATTCATAGTGGTCGTAATGTTAACTTCTCTGCTCTGGTCCGGGTTGTAATATTACGTCCGCCGAAGAAAAATAAATTTGTATGTGGTGCGTCTTCTGTATACTGTTTATTCTGTGGTAGTACAAACGAAAACAAGTCTAATAAGCTGCTCTTTGATATAAATTCGAACTGTACCGATTTTCAAAAATTATGTGTTTGTTGTACATTTGTTCATGTTTGTCATTGTTCGTGTAATTTTCTAGAGTAGTTTTGAGCTCTCGCTATCTCTTTGTATTAACTCGTCCTTCGTTGGCAAGAATGATAGAATACAAGATTGCGCCGATCAGAGAGGATTTTTGAGAATAACTTTTGTGTGACGTCACACTGGTGCAATTGCGAGAGAGGAATAGCGGTCCGAGATCGGCGCAACCTTTGTATTCTCTCAATCGTGCTTCGTTGGTATACTCTGATGAACATATGTGAGGATGATAGCAAGGCCAACTTATATAAGGTAGTGTTTCAGGAGCAGTTGAGATTTTCGCCCGATGTTAAACGTAGCGACCGTTGGTTCATCTTGGTGTTGTTTTGCTCTAGATTGCACCGTTTGTGGGCCTGTTGAATGAATTTATGTCTTGGTTGTATGAAGCATCAAAAAATTTGGATGTTCGGGCAATTTGTACAACTTATCGCTACATTAATGGCCATGTTGTACAAACTCATTTAATTTGCGTTTATTTTGTACACTAAATAACCGAAAATGGATAACTCAGCCGAAATAGGTACGTGCTTTCGTTGAATTTTATAAATGTAAGCCGAAACTATGAAATTGTAAAAAAGAGATTTTACAATGAGACTGCTCGCAAAATTGCAATGCTTGTGGGCAAAACGTCCAACTTGATTGCGGATTGATTTGAACCAACGTTTTCGGCTTGCATTATGTCAAAAGGATGTGTTTGTTGTAATTCATTATGTCATTTACTACCATTATGCGTAGGCCAATTCATGAAATCATTTGATGCGTTTGTGGTAGAAACTGAATGAATGAACACCATTTCATGATTACAATCAACGCGAAATAGAGTTTATGCACTTAGTTTTTACTCAGATCGATGAAATGATTTCGTGAATTGGAATACGCATACATGTGATACTTATGCTTTTAATTTATAAGGTAATTTTATGTTTTTATACTCTTGCTACCACATGAATATATGAATTCGTGATGAGAATATATTAATTCGCCTTGGAAGATAGAAAGCGAGTAAGAATAAATGGCAAACAAAGGAATTTGTCTTCTTTCAACTTAAATAAATTCATTTTGCAAACAAAAGTGCGTACGTTACTTAGTGCCTTGGTAATGGCGAATTCGTAAGGATCTATTGATTGCATTATAAACATTTTCATTTATTTGTTAAACATACAATTACTTCCATTACAACCCGGTCCTATGGATGCTAGAAGCGCGAATTCATATAAGGTGGTGTTACCGGAAAATGAATAAATAAATTATATGTATATCAGAAAATTAATAAGATGAAATGAAATTATTGTTTGATTTCTAACCAAACCTATGTATGTAACTCAATCGCCTAATGGTTTGCCGAACCGTAAACATATGTTTACACATCCAATTTCGTGAGTAGGTACCTGGTACTCACACCTTTTTTATGAAGTTTCACTTCTATCATGTGTACGGTATTACACACGCATTTTTTTTACTTTATGGCGGCTAGACACTAATTAAAAAAAAATGGTTTCATTTCATGCAGTTTTAACGTGGTGAATATTAAGCATAAGCTCGAAAGGCTGGTTTTACTTGTGAAAGAAAATCCCAATACGCAGTTGGCACGATCTCTGAGAACCAAATCGTAAGCTGTTTATAGTTTTAAAATATTTTAAATAGATTTGGCTCACAAACGCCTCTTTAGACAGTCGAAAGTTTTTAATAAATCTGTAGACAAATTTCTTAAATTTTTTTTTATGTCAAAATATATTCGAAAGACTACACTTAAGAAGTTGTATTTTGTTTCCAAACGAATCCTGTCACCTCACCAGCATGGTTTTGTGTCCGGTCGTTCTACGGTTACAAATTTAGCGCTATTTTCTGAGTACTGCGTATCGGCTTTTAAATGTGGGTATCAGGTTGACTCTATCTCTATCTACACTGATTTCTCGAAAGCATTTGATAAAGTATCTCATTCTATTTTGCTGTATAAACTTAAGTGTCTTGGCTTTCATTCTATTTTTCTGTCTTTTTTAAAATCTTATCTCTCGAATAGAACTCTATTTGTGGAAATTGAACATCACAAATCGAAGTCATTTGTCGCCACCTCGGGGGTACCGCAGGGTAGTATCCTTGGTCCTCTTTTGTTTGTTCTATTTATTAATGATATTGGCTCATGTTTTAAATACTCTAGCTTTTTACTTTATGCTGATGATCTGAAACTTTTTCGGAAAATCACCTGTGTGTCTGATATTGTATACTTGCAATGGGATTTGAACAATCTTGTTGACTGGAGTTGTCGCAATAAGTTGGAACTTAATATAAAGAAATGCTTCCACATGACGTTTTCAAAAACTCATAATACGGTTCTTTCAAACTTTTCCATCTCAAATCACCAGCTTACCAAAGTTAATGATTTCGTGGATTTGGGTGTTGCGTTTGACTCGGCTTTTTCTTTTGTGAACCATGTGTGCTATTTACTTCCAAAGGCGTTTAGCAATTTAGCGTTTTTGCGTAGATATGGGAAAGATTTTAAAGATCCGTATACCAGAAAATCTCTTTTTAATGCACTTGTTCGCTCGAAATTAGAGTATGCTTCAGTAATTTGGAACCCAATTTACAGTTCTCACGCTTGTAGAATTGAACGTGTTCAACGAAAATTTATTCGCTTTGCTCTTCAGCCGCTTAATTTCTCGGATCCTCTTCCTTCATATGGTGCTAGGTGCAAACTAATTAATTTGAAATCTCTGGAAGGGAGGAGAATTGTCCAGTCGCTTATGTTTGTCTATGACTTAATTAATGGATATATAGACTGCCCTAACTTGCTTGAACTGATAAGCTTTAATGTTCCCCACAGAGTATTGCGTTTTCAATTACCATTTTACTTGCAACCAGTCAAAGCGAATTATTTTTATCTGGCTCCGGTTTTTAGAGCTCTTTCGGAATTCAACTGTATCTCAGGAAGGTTGAATATTGAGTTCTCGACTTCTAGGTCCTTATTCAAATCTATGATTGAATCTATTTACTCCTAAACTTATACACAAAGTATGTACAACTTTTTACTTAATAGGGTTATATTTAATTAGTTATTTTGATTAAATTTGCTCCTATATGAGTAAGTGTACTATGTAACATGTTTCTGCTGTTGTTGTAAGTTATTATAAAATTCTAGGGTGTTTTTTGTAATCTAGCCTGTAAGATTTCTTATCAGTATAGACTAAATAAAGATTGAATTGAATTGAATAAACCCTCTTAAGCATCTTCTACTCCTGGCCAGTTTACCAAGCTCTCATCCTCTGACGCAGGGGCGGACCCAGCAGCATATATCGTGTATATAAATTTAAAAATCACCGCAATTTAAAATTTTTAGAGTTTTGATAGTTTTTAATTTCTTGAAGTTTCCCATTTTTAATAACTTGAGTGGATTTTCAAAATTTTCTAAACTTTCAAAACTTTGTGAATTTGAGAAATTTTAGTTAATCCCAATAATTCCATTAATTCAATATAATGATGAATACTATAGATTTCCAGAAATTTTTTATTTTTCAAAAATTTTGAGAATTGTAGAAATTCTAACAAATTTTTTCTAAGTAAAAGTGTCGAATATCCAAAACTGATCAAACGAAATTAAAAGTTTTCGAATGTTGAAAACATTTTCATATTTCGTCGTTTTTGAAAATTTAAAAAATTTTCGTAATTCTTGAAGATTCAAAAAATTTTTGGACGTTGATGTTTTCAAAATTTTCAAAAAATTTAAAATTCTCAAACTTTGTTATATCAATACAAAATTTTGGAAAAGTTCAGAAAAGTGGAACAATTTTGGAATTTTTCAAAAATGTTAATATCTTTTAGATAAAAAGTGATTTTGTGGATATTTTAAAATAATATTATTTATAAAACAGTACACATATGTATATACATATATGCATACTTATTAACTAAAAGCCATAGTACGGTGAAATTAGACTCATAAACTATCATTTTACTTTTAGCCTCAAACGTGATACTAAACTAACCCCTGCTGATATGCTGGCACTAGTTGCGCTAGTGGAGGCAGGTGAGCGCGCACGTAAGGATACCGACACCGACACAAGTAACAGTTACATGTACCCATCAGTCGGCATTTCGGCTGCACCTGAATCCTATGGAAGCAACTACAATGGCATGAAAAACTATTATCCAACTGCGCCTAATGCTTACGACTACCCCGCCAACTTGGATGAATTGGACGACAATGCGGGCACGTGGTTGGAACCAAACATGGTGGATTACTATGGTGTGCCAATGAATATGGAAACAATACCTAAATATGAGCTGCAACGAGAGCACAAATATGCCAGTTCATTGGGTGGTGGTAATGGCAACCGTAAGTTTTTCCAAATACACATACATATCGTCGCATGGCGCGCAATACTTCGTATCTGCCTCGTATGAGGTGGAATAGAAAAAAAGGTATTTTGGTTTTGAAGAAAATAAGGTTCTTCGCTCTTTTGCGAAATTTTCGGACTATCTTATACGTGGTATTGCATTTTGGGGATACGAGGTATTGCGCGCCAAGCGACGATGTGTATATACGTACATATGTATGTAATATTTACATAAATATTTATTTTCTGAACTGTTGTAACGCAAAATTTACCTTGACTTCCTTTGTAATGCAGGTTATGGATTCAAGCGTTTCATGGTAGCCAAGAAGAAACGTTCTATGGGAAATTTTCTAAACGAACCAGTTTCCAAGCCCAGCATTAGCAACAATGTCAATGGTGAAAAAATTTATTAAATGGTTGATGCATTTTCTGCGCGTTTCCTCCCTCGTTGGCAGAGGAAATTATAATACATACAAAAATACATAGACTAAGTAAAGCTCAAAAATATGTCAAATTAGAAACAGGTTATAAGTGAAAAATATTATTATACATACCTATTATACTATGTACAACCCACAAAAATATCAGCCACTAATTCAAAATGATACAGAAAGTTATGAAGGGTGATGTATATTTTCGTTTATTTTATTTTAATGAACTCGGTGCTAAAAGCCGCAGCATTGGTATGTAAAGGATCCTGATCTAGATTTTTCCAATAGGGCAGTCCAACAGAACGTAGAAGACCTCTTGCTTAAACTGAGTCTCAGAATTTTATTTGTGTTTTCTTGATTTACGATGTTTTTTTGGAACGTATCTAAAACCCAACCACATCCACTTATTTCTCAAAAATCCAAGATGCGCAACTTAATCGACTCCAGCAGACCAATGCGTGGTTTTTGTTTACGATAGCGAAAGATTCAAATCGAAAAGACAAACTATCGATGCGCGTGAACGAATCAAAGTTAATCATTTTCACAAGATCGACTAAAATTTTGTTCGTCAAAAATGTCTAAAGGAATACAGAAACAGCTCGATAATCTGAACACTCGGTAATCCAAGCACCGCGGTAATCAATTGCATTGTATCCTCTAAAAATCGAATATTACAATTTCTTTATATATTTTTAAAGAAATGAACAGTACTTTTTTGAAAGAAAATTTCATTTTGCTCACTGAATTTTCTTAACCATTTTTACACAAGGGTGGCTTTAAATAAGCGAAGGAACGTTTCGACAAGAAAAAATGCCTAAAAACTGAAAGTTGCGCAAAGATCTGCTAACGCAAGTTCGATCCTTAACCAATTGTCCAAGTCCAACTATTCAATATTGGTGTGGTTTTGGAAACAATTTCGCTTATCTTTGCGTGACTCTCCCGTTTCAATGATTGTCTGAAATAGAGCTACATACTAACATATTTCTTTAAATTCAAGAATTGTAAAACAGGTTTCCAAAATATTTAACATCGACATATAAACGATTGTGTCAAAAAGTCGTCTGAGAACTACATAACAATTAGTTATTTTATCTTACTCATCAAACTGATTTTTGGATTTATGATAAATACATAAATATGGCACAAAAGAGATTTTTGAAATCAATAATAACCCTGCAACGGAAATACTGGTACAGAACTAGTGAGTTCATCAGTTTTCGGGAGTCGAATACCGGTACCTTGCAAATCTACCAGCCATACTTTCTACTGTCGCATTTAACATGGAGTTGTCCTAGGAGGTGACAACTGACTCCCGCTGCGTAACTTTTCACTAGTACTTGTAGTAGTAACATGTAACCTGTAACCGAACCACTTTTTTTCGTAGTGCACTTCACAGATACTTTTTCATAATTAAAAAAAAAAAACGAACATCAAGATTTTAAATTATATGTTCTGCATAGCGAGATTTGAACTTGAACACTTTCGGCCGCAACTAGTTGCAGCTAGCATCTTTGCGCACTCAGCTACAGGCACAACATGTAGGTGTGCTTTCAAATGTTCGCTTTGAATCAAGCCAGGCGACGATTTGTTCAAATTTAAGTTTGTCTTTGCTATTTATTTTCCTGTAATCGAATGTACTAAAGCTGCAGCGTGACGTTTGAAATTGTATTATTGGGCTGAACTGATTCTTGATAATTTTAACAAAATTGTCATTTGAACGCGCTATATAGTCGTTTGTGTATCGATCGACTTGAAATTTTCACACAATAAACTACAAACTATTCAAAACAATTTAAGTTTAACACCACTTAATACTCAATACAAATAAAACTACAGGTTTATAACTTTTTAATGAGAATTAAGAGGGTGTTTGTTTTCAAATGCAAAAGTTGTGTTATAAAGTTTGAAATACATTTTTATACCCGAGCGCACTTGTGCACAAGGGTATTATAACTTTGTTCACATAACGGTTGTTTGTAACAGGCAAAACGAATCGAGATAGATATAGACAAATGTATACATAAATGATCAGAATGAAAAGAGAAATCGATTAAGCGGTGACCGTCTGTCCGTCCGTCCGTCCGTCCGTCTGTCCGTCCGTCTGTGCACACGATAACTCGAGTAAAAATTAATATATCTTAACGAAACTTGGTAGGTGTACTTCTTTCGGGCGTTGGACGGATGGTATTGAAAATGGGAAAAATCGGACAATAACCACGCCTACCTCCCATATAACGGTAATTTTCAGAAATACGAAAACTGCGATATTTTAGTAACTACTGAAGATTATTCACTCAAAATTGATATTTACAATAATTTTTAGACGAAAAATAAGAATATTATAAATTTTTTAAAAATGGGCGTAGCCACGCCCACTTATGGTTACATGTGTATATCTTGGTAACCGCTGCACCGATTTCTTCCAAACTTGGCACAGTTAATGGCCTTGGCACTGCATACCAAATGGCCGAAAATTTTTAAAATCGGACAATAACCACGCCCACATCCCATATAACGGTACTTTAGAGAAATACAAAATCTTTGATAAATCAGTAAATATTAAATTTATTCAAAATTGATGCTTGCAACAATCCTTTACCAAGAAATACGCTTATGATAAAATTTTGGAAAATGGGCGTGGCACCGCCCACTTATGATCACATATATATATATCGGTAACCGTTCAACCAATTTGTACCAAACTCGGTATTTTTATTGTGCTTGCCACATAAAAGCAAAACGTTGAAAATTATTGAAATCGGACTAAAATTCCCGTAGCTTTTCATATAACGGTAAATTTCAGATATGCTTGAAATTTCAATATTTCGAAATTTAAGGACGCTAATTTACTTAAAATGTATACACCCCGGCTTATCATGTAGCGGTAGCTTTCGGAAAGGTGGAAAACATATATTTAATACTTGCGCCGGGTATTTAATGTTCGGCTCCGCCCGAACTTAGACTTTCTTACTTGTTTTATTTAAAATTTGAATATTTTATTGTACTCAGACAAGGAACAATGTAAATAAATAGAAATGTCTGATCCAATAGCACTCACAAATAGCAAAGTAAACATATTTTTCAAAGTTGTATTGTAATACACTTGTAAAGAAAAAACAACACTTTTAAAACTGTTCTAAAAAAATAGTATAAAAGAGCAAATATGACAAATAGCACGACTTGGGAACTCCCTAATTGTGTCCTCCTTATGCGTCTATAAGAAATATTTTCTGTTGGTTTTTTTTTTTTCTATGATAAATTTTTCCGAAACACACAAAATTTCTTTTGAACGAGGTGCATATTGCTCTCCTATCAATCAAAAAGAATACTCTTGGATTTCTCGCCTAGGAGACATCACTTTTTGCTCCTAAACGAGTAATAACGGAGTACAAAACCGACAAGTCTCGCTTATTGCTCCCAAATCATGCCTCAGGGAGCATTCTTTAATTGCTCGCTTAGGAGATCTCTCATTAAGCTCCTAAGCGAGCAATACAGGAGNCAAATCTCGTTTATTGGTCCCAAATCATGCTTCAGGGAGTATTATTTCGTCGCTCGCATAGGAGATCTCCTATTTGATTCCTAAACGAGTAATAAAGGAGTACAAAACTGACAAATCTCTCTTATTGCTCAGAAATCAGGTTAAGGGGAGTACTCTTTTATTCCTATTATTTAAAACGGCCAATAACCTTTAGAAAGTGCAATATGTAACCAATAGCTCGATTTATTACTACCTGGAGCATAATATGCTTTTGGAACTAGTAATGTAACTAGTACGAAAGCGACAATTGTCTCCGAGCCCGCTGCAGGGAAACTTCAAATTTTGAGCCAAAAGAAATAATTGATACTAATATGAGCAAAAAATATGTCAGCTGGGGTAAATAAAATGGGCACTCTTGGACAACCTGTTCTAAAACTCAAATTTACGGTTTTCTGTAAATGGTTTCGTTAAACCGTTATAGAGGTAAGGAAAGAAACTGTCAAATTACGCTATTTGCATAAAATTTTATGGAAAAGTTTAGCGTAAGCTTCTACAAAAACTTAAGTTTGTTCACACAGAATGTACTCGAAGAAATTTTTCGAGTGTTAAATTCTGCCATTTTCAGAGTAGTGTTTTATTATCTCTTTTCTAGTAAATTTACTGGGGGAACAAAATTATGAAAGCCATTAAATTTTCTTGTTATATCCAGAAAATATTTCTCCTGCTTTTACGAATCTAAACATTTTTTATATACACATATTTAGTTAAATCGGCTTGTAATTTATTAAGAAGCTGTTGATTATGGCAACTGTTATTTTAACAGGATCCATGAATAGATTCACAAATAAAAAAGGGAGTTCTCGACTAATCTATACTCGAATTAATCGATTCGAAATCGTCATCTCTAATGCCTATCTTGTTAAAAATCAGGGTCTGTTTTGCAAATTTAAAAATTATCGATAAAATACACGTATACATATACATACATAGATACACAACTGCATGTAGAAATATATTTGCATATAAGAAATATTCCAGATGTTATAGAAAATATATGAAACAAAGCAAAAACTTGGTGTATTGGTGATTTGATGAAACTCCCTTTAGACTTTTAATCAACCAAATTTTGCTCTATTTGTTTAAGTTTTTACATAATTATTGTAAAAAGTCTTGCACATAAAATGCAAATATAAATATTCATTAATGAAAGCCCATACCGCAAAAAAAAAATTACTCAAAACAAATTCAAATTCGGATGTATAAAATGAACATATACACATACATAACTAACAAAAATACGAATGTTATTATGTTAACAAACAATAATGAAAGTATATAAATGTATTTATTTAATCATTTTAATGTATTAATGCATAGTATAAATATTTGCATATGTATGTATATTAAATGATTAGTGTTGTAGACTTTAAATAATCAACAGGCAGTAAATGACTCAGAGTGGAATTATACATATATATGTTCATAACTGTATGTATAACTGAAATGAATTTAAATCAAAAATACTTCAATATTTAAAATTCGGACAAAATGAACTTCCTAATTAATTTCATTAGTTCTATAGATCCAAAAAAGCTAATTTTGCTAAATACATACATAACAATATATCGAGCCCTAACCGCCAAAATAACGTAAGCTACAGTTTTTTCAATTTTTTTTTTATGCAGAAATGCATCTACATAGATCATAGCTGGGCGGCGCCTGCCCGGCGGGCATATTCGCGTATACATGCACGCTCTGCTTTAGAAGGCAGCGAACGCTTCATGCAACCGCACGACTTTGTCGCACGCACACAAAGACATCAATTGCACGCACACTGCAAAAATGCTCCGCCGAAGCTGCCCACCTCTGATCTAGATGCTCTAGGAATATTTCTGGATCAAAAAGAAAATTTTGAAAAAGTCGCTTACGTTGTTTTGGCGGTTAGGGCTCGATATGTACTATACAATGGAAAACATCAATGGTGTCTGCTACCAGCACTGCACACAAGTAGATACGACATTTTATGTAAGATTGTCTAACTAAAATTGAATGTAATCAATAATGTGCGGTTGCAAAAAATATATATATAAATATACTCCATAAAGATGATATACATATGTGCAGTAAAAGATTTATTTATAAATCCATAAGTACACTACTTCATATACTTATGTAAATGAGCATTCTTGCGTAAAAATATTATTAAATGTGTATATGCATAAATATCAATAATTTAAGTATCACATTCTTTAAGTCTTTTCCAATCTAATGAAGGGCTTTACTTTCCAAATGCTTATTTATGTTTAAGTATGGCTCTTTTAAAAAGTACATCATATTTTTACTGAATCTATACACGTATAAATATTTGTATATGTAACTACCGGAACTTCCATATCTTAACTACTATTTGTACTTTTGTAACATATGTATTTACCAAGTCATGGAAACTTTTAAGCTTTACTTCAAGTTAACTTTTAAATAAACTATTTAAGTTCAAGTGTCGTTTAAAGGAGTTTTTTTTCACATTTTATATCTTCGAGGTTTTTTGTTTTTTATAGGTACGTAAGCCATGCCTTTTCTTTACTCTTTGAATCATTGATGCACTTGTGCCACATTCTTTGGCCAGATCACGAACGTATGTATATGCACTTGTTCTGGTTTAAAATATCTATTATTTTTTGTCCAATTTTGCATTTTTCTGTCCATTTGTCGGCCAGTTTTAGGCAAATCTTTGAAAGTATAATGTTCACCATATTTACAAACAACTTTTTTTACTGCATTTGGCGAAACACCGAACCGTTTAGCCAATTTTCTGTAGGATATACAATTTTCTGTGCCATAAGTGCACACAATTTTTTTTCTGTCGCTGTCACTTATTCGCTTGCAGAGGCAAGACATTTATATTCTATATATATTTATATTCTATTCTAAGCTTTCTGACTTCATAGGCAAATTGACCATTTCAAAAAATTTCCTACGTCACTAGAAGAAAAATTTTAAATTTTTCTTTTCGGTACAGTCTTTACATAGGCTTATTTTCCAATATCCAATAAATCCGGAAATATCAAATAATTATTTATTTCATTTTATTCGTAGTATGATTTATTAGTAGCATTCAGATACTCTGTTTACATTATTTTAATTATATTCGCAATTTATCTTAATTAAATAACTTTAGATTTAATACAAACAATACATTTTTGTATTATATTACGTTCAAATTGGCCCCATTTAACTTGTTAAATGAAAAAGAGCTTTTCATAAAACGCAGTCGTTCACATTGAACTTTTGGAGTTAATTTTGACGGTTGTTTGATTTCAAATAAAAATTCAAAAGAAGTATTTAAAATCATGGTTTTCACGTTTTAATTTGTTTTGTGCGTATGTCTGCTTCATGATTTTAACGCATACGA